GATAGATAGATAGATGATAGATAGATAGATGATAGGTAGATGATAGATAGATAGATGATAGATGATAGATAGATGACTACATATGATGCATAGACACTGACAATCAGAGGGAAAGGAGAAGAGGTGGAAGTGGGCAGAGGGGGGATAAGTGGGGATGGGAAGAGACTTTACTTTGGGTGATGAGCGTACAATGCAGTATTCAGATGATGTTTTATTGAGTTGAACACTTGAAACCTGTTTTGGTTTTATTAACCCATGTCACCCCAATAAATTCAGTTAAAAAATAGATGAAAGAAACTTTGAAGCAACAAGAAACTGGTGAGACTGATTCATAAGCAAGCATGACAATATCGATAGAAATCTATGTGCAAATAAGTTTAAAAGCTTTTTCTATAAGCTTTATTTAAGTATTAAGTAGAGTCTAGTGATAACAAAGCACTATGCCGCAGTTTATTTGACACCTTTTCCCCCCCCTCTTTTAGTGGTACCTAAAATCATGATGTACCTCACCATAGGTAAAAGAATAGTTTTGATGAAACACAGGCAGTAATACCAGTTCAGTGTATCACAAAGCTATTGGAAACAATGAATATCCTAGCTCTTATTGATACATACATATATCATCGCACTTGAGGTAACTAGATAAACTGACATAGAAAATGATTAATTTGTATAGCTTAAGAACTATTCTATAAATGATTTTATTATTATACAAAATTTGCTTTGCTATATAACTTTTCATGGAGGAATAATTAATAAAAATATTAGCCACATTTTATTTTTATGGTACATTAAAGATAGTGTAAAGATTCTGTAAGTAAACATAATAGCTGCATTAATAGTAAATTAGGTCAATGTAACTTTGTCACATATTATGAATACAAAATTAACATTTGTGAGTGGATTGTTTTAACCACAAAAATAAAGCATGATAGAAATAGTTTAAGAAGGTAGATTTGTCTACTTTAATTTTGATATTTTAAATGATTTATCTAAATTAATACATCATATTTTCTTTGTTGGCATTTTGTGTAACATACAAAAATTTGATTTAAAATTCTTCACTTTATTTCAAATGGTACTGAGTAGCATGTATAGACTGTGAGTGGGGTTAAAATCAGTAGTTGTTGACTGTTAGTCTGCTTTCAGCCTGTTTTTCCAGTTTTACTTCTTTATTGGTGATGATGATTCTTACCATACTTTTTCCTTAGCATGCGGAAAGTGATGGGGTGTTTTGGTGAGGCCAAAGAATTGAGAGTTGAGGAAAATCATGGGGAGAACCTTTCTGACTTACCAGGATGGCTTTCTAAGGTCATATAGTGCTGAGATGCCGGGAGTTACAGGTCACATGATGATGAAGGACATAGATACTGCTTGAATCTTACCAGCAGAATGGGAAGAGATGACTATAAGTCAAACTACCTTTCCCCCCTACACCCTTTTTTCCTGTATGCAAAACATCTTATATATTGTGGATGCTTAATAAATTTTTTCAAATAAATATATGCTGAAGAAAACTAATAGTTCAGATATATGTGCATTCTTACCTGGTTATGTTGCAGAAGACTTCACTGAACAGGTGAAATTTTATATTTTAAAAGACGATTAAAATCCCAACAGGCACACAATCAGTATTGTTTTTATTATATGTCTTTAACTCCCACATTTTATTGGATTTTTTCATTCACCCGTGAATGATATTAATTATAACAATGCTTGTTTTGTGTCATGTATTTGGGTCTTCATGAGTGGCAAGAAATATTGGGTTCATTTTATTTTATGGAGTGATTTTAATTCTCTAGCTCGTCAGAATATTTTACATGAAAAAATAGCCTAAGGTGAATAAACTTTAATTCCTTCTGTGTGTACCCAGGGGTATTTTTTTATAAATATTCTGTAATCATGATGATTTTAAATCATGTGACAGAAATGTCTGCATGTTGACACATTGACAGGGCTAAGGACCACTTGCATGTTAAACTTCAGATGAGTACCAGAGCAATATACATATTTATTTATCCAAATGTAACTTTTTGGATTGAAGTGCTTGAAAGTAAAATCTGGGCTGCTTTGCATTCATAAGCAAAGTTAAAACATTTTCTCAAGATATTGAGTTCTAGCCCGGCGGGGAGTGGCTCAGCGGTTGAGCATCGACCTGGGATCCAGGCAATCGGGGTTTGATTCCCAGTCAGGGCACATGCCCGGGTTGCAGGCTTGATCAATGACTCTCTCATCATTGATGTTTCTGTCTCTCTCTCTCTCTCCCTCTCTTTTCCTCTCTCTGAAATCAATAAAGATATATATATATATATATAAAAAGATATTGAGTTCTAATAGTAATACAATTATGGGTTAACCCCTTACTAACCAATGTGCTTCGGGGACCAGGGGCGCCTGAGTCACCTGGAAACTTTCTTAAAAATGCGGAATCTCAAGCTATAACCCAGACCTACTGAATCAGAATCTGCATTTTAACAAATCCCTAGGTAACTCCCATTCCCATTAAAGTTTGAGAAGTGTTGGCAGCCTACCTATTCCCTTTCCTGATCCCCTAGTTGATTATATAGTACTAATTGAGAATCTGCAAAATACATCATGGCCCCTAAACTTTTCCTTCAAAGCAGACATGGTTCATACCGTTCTCAAACAGAAAGGAAAGCATGCATGACTAGATTTTAGAATAGAAAAATAACCTCAGTTTTACATGCTTCAAAATTCTGTGGATGTATGTATTTTTTTATGTTCTTATGACTTTTTGAGTTGTACAATAATTCTCCTTTTCTCAACAAAGAATAAAATTATATCCACTAAATGAATTCACCTGTCCCTGTCATACCTGGTCTTCTGTTGACAGGCTCAGAATGTTATTTTAGCTTTCTTAGACTTGTGGAAATCATGCTGCTTGCTTCCCTACAGGAGTTAAAATGAAATATTAGTAATTATGCATACTTAATTTTCAAAATGCCAACTGATTACTCACAGCATTTATAAAAAGGAGCATTCTTGTCGATGTGCATAAAATGTTTCCTTAAGAAGGACTTTTCAAGTCTGCAATTGTGCTATTATGGATATTTTTATTACAGTGATTGGAATAAAAAATGAATTCTTTATTAACATATCCTTCCTTTTTCCCTTTTCCAGATGCAAGACAAAGGTCTATCCTGATGAACTTCCAAACACAAGTGTAGTCATTGTGTTTCATAATGAAGCTTGGAGCACCCTCCTTCGAACTGTTTACAGTGTTATAAATCGTTCTCCACACTATTTACTTTCTGAGGTCATCTTGGTGGATGATGCCAGTGAAAGAGGTATAAATATTTTTCTCATATATTTTCTTAAATTAGAAAACTTTGTTATGGTCGGAAAGACAGCTGGGAAATGATCTGTATTTTCCTTATAATTATACTAACCCTGAAACCACCCATCATCATCAGTGCATTTTCATCAATGTATCTAGGCAATGCCAACCCTAGAGACAAGGAACTAATTATTACAGTTTCTCTCATGATTCCATTTGGTTCTTACTAACCCAGGAAATCAGCCAAAATTTTTGAGGGGTTTCTTTTTTCTCCCAACTCAACTGCTCATATGATTGAACATTTAGATAACTGTATGTATACTTGTCTCTTTTTTCTTTCTTTTAGTTCGGGTAAATGCAAAATAACATATAATTAAGGAGCGTGCATTTGCCAGTGTGGCTCAGTTTCTCAATTACAGTCTGATATATTCACTTCCTGTTCATTCTTATCCTTGTCAGCCAAGTGACAGGTTATAATGAACTGTGCATTACTATACTCATGAAATCTCTATACCTTTATGTCACCTACCGCAAAAAATGTGGACAGGAGTTTGCCACCATTTCTGTGTGTTGAATTTTCATCTGGGCAGTAGTATCTCCGCTGTGTCTTAAAACAGTTTCAACGCTCCCTTATGAATTCTTATTGCACATTACAGATTTTCTCAAGTTGACATTAGAGAACTATGTGAAAAATTTAGAAGTGCCAGTAAAAATTATCCGAATGGAAGAGCGCTCGGGGCTGATCCGAGCCCGCCTCCGAGGAGCGGCCGCTTCGCGAGGACAGGTCATCACGTTCCTGGACGCGCACTGCGAGTGCACCGCCGGCTGGCTCGAGCCGCTGCTGGCCCGCATCAAGGAGGACAGGTAGGACCCCGCCGCCGGGCCCTGCTGCTCCCCATCAGAGCTCCTCTTCCAGGCGGCTCCTTCCAGCTTTCTTTCCTAGCTTTTGAAAAAGCCATCCCCCCCTTCCTCTCTGAATAAAGGCCTTCGCTTATTAGTGATGAGCACAAATATTCAGTTAACGAACAGTCAAACAATTCAGACAGTAAACATGGGTTGGATATTCATTTTTTAGGTGAAGGACATGAGCCTTATTTGAAATAGTACGATTTTGTAAAATACATTTTCAAAGCACCTCACTGTAGCCTCGCGAGCACTCTGGGAGGTAGTAATGTAGATGCTCGGACCTGTTCCCAGTCGTAGGGAGGGACGCCTAAGTTAAGCAGCTGGCCCCGCTTATTGGAAGTGATGGGAGCGGCTCAGTTCTCCCCAGTCCCAGGCCAGTCTTCTTTCTGCTAGGTCAGTGCCCCTATTCAAAGTCTAGTTAAGATCCATCTTGAGGCTTTTAAACATAAACACACATAATCCCACATTCCAATCATGACTTTAAAAAAGAAAGAGAGAGCACAGCTCTAAAGAATGTTTAATTATTAAACAATATTGCCACTTTGTACATAAAAATGGTGAAATCTGAAAGACTGAATAATGCTTTATAGAAATTAAGAACCCTCGTGGATACCTGCAATTCTCTCTAATGATGAGGTTATGAGGTCTGAGCTTTTTTGGGAGATATTCATAAACATTGCTGATGAATGAGTGTAATTTCCAAGCACTTAAGGAAGACAACTGTGTTGAATACTGTCTGATATAAAAACATAGCATTGCATAACACCCTGCTTGCAAAGGCATTTCACCTACAGCAGAAAGGCCTTTCTAGAATTGAAGTTTTTAATTAAGCATCCAAGACCGGCTGTGTAGTGTGAGTTAGTCCTGCTATATCACGTAAATGGCAAGATTTGGTACTTGCCACGAAGATGGATGGAGGTTGTCAGTAAAATGAACCATAGCAGTTGAATAAAGCAGTGGGAACCTTTTAGTCAACTGAGTGTAGTACACAGCTAATAACATTTTCCCACTCTGTGTATTTTACAGTACCCACAGGAGGGTAAGACTGGCAAAGTGAAATGAACTTGGGACATCTTAAATGCATTTCCTGGCAACATTTCATACATTATGCTGCTTTTTAAAACATGTGTTTCATATTCAACTTAGTGAGTTTTTAATATAATATTGTTTCAGCAAGGTCATGCATAGATCATTTACTTTTTAATCTAACAACATATTTAAATTATATTTGTATGTAATGAACTCTAATGTCTTGTCCTACTTGTAAGTTCTAAAGTTGCCATAACTAGATAATAAAATCCTGTTAAAAGTTATTAGATCTAATTTCACCTCCCTACAAATTAAATTATTAAATTTAATGAAGAAAGAAAGAGATTGATTTTGTAGGGACCAGTGTTACCAAGAAGTTTTTCCAAGAGTAGATGAATTCTATTGATTTCAGAGAACTCTATGCTTTAATTAACTGTGTGGAATATAAAACCCAATTGAAAATAAATACTGGTGATACCAGTATCACAAAACCAGAATAAATGATGGACAACATGTCTTTGCTTTCCACACGTACCAAATAGGACAAATAAGCTCTGCTGTTCAGAATTGGCTACAACCAAGGCAAACTTGGGTAGACCTACACATTTATTGTGGAGATGACACAAGGTCATCCCATAATAAAGCATAACCCAGGAGCAGGGGAGACTGGAGAGAGCACAACATGGATTAAGAGATTACCTAATTATCTCTCATGGTAAAAAATGCCTTTCCTTAAAAAGCCACCATCAAGTAGTTCAAATCTCCTGGCTGTCCCTCTTACTTTAAGAAAAGATGAGTCAGGGTAAAAACACCAGAAACTGAAAGGTGATTATCTTTCTCTATCTTAAAATATGTAGATTTTACTATAAATTCTTAAGTCTAGGACAGTTCACTCAGGATGACCCTGATATCCTTCATAGGAAACATTTACTTATACTGATGATCACTATTTTTATTGTTATTTCTGTTTGTTTATTTTTGTTGTTTGTTTTTTGTAATAGGTATTTTCTCCATGAAGATTTTCTTAGAACTATCTCTTCAATCTTTCCTAACCCCTCTGAGATTTGAACTACCAGACCTAATTTGCAATCATCCAGTCTCCACTCCCTGTATGCAATTACTTTTCTATAAAAGAAATAGTTAAAATGATGCATAATATCAAAGCAACTCTACTAAGCATACTGTGGGTGGAGGTTTTATGAATAATGGACCATGTTCATCCTGCTGAGTTAGTACTTAGAATGCATTTGAAAACCAGCTTGAAGATCAGTTACCGCATTTGATTAGATTATACATAGTAGCATAAAGTTGACTGTCAGGAAGATGTGGCGAGAGGAAATAATTCCATAGATTAAAAAGATAAAAGAAAAAGAAAAGCATATTAATGTCACAAAATAATCAAATTTCAACATGTCAGCTATATTGAGTTTGAAAAAACAAATGTAGCATTTACATTGATATGAAAACTGGTTTTACTTTTTCTGCAGGAAAACAGTTGTGTGCCCCATTATTGATGTGATTAGTGATGATACTTTTGAATACATGGCTGGGTCAGACATGACTTATGGGGGTTTTAACTGGAAACTGAATTTTCGTTGGTATCCTGTTCCCCCAAGAGAAATGGATAGGAGGAAAGGAGACAGAACATTACCTGTCAGGTATGTAGATCCTATCTTCCACAGGATAGCATGTGTATTCCTAAAATAATTAAGAAGTATTATAAGTTGTATTCTCGTTTTTGTCTTTAAGAGTCATACACTTTTTATTCATATACACATGTGTTACCACCTTTTACATGATCATCTAAGAATCAATGGCTATATTATATCTAGTTTAAATTAGCACAGGCAAATTTAAGTATTGGCGGAAGTGCCAGATTTCTTTTAAATCTGTGTATTCTTATATTCAAACTATATGTATTGTAGGTTTTCTATCTGACAGGTGTGTGCTAGCCTTGCCAATTTAGGAAGATATATTTCTTATCTAAATGTATATGTGTTATAGTAGAAGTGTACTCAAAATTGAAATAACCAAAAATGTTTTGATAAATATTCTAAATTTACCAATCTTAAAGAACTATCTTCCTGACAGATAAAAGAGAAAGATCCTTGTATAAAATTTTAATATATTAAAAATTATGAAGGGTTTATTGTTTGCTTGAAGTTATTGAAAATAGCTACTTAATCTGAAATATCTATTCATAAAATGTTTGCCCTTAATAAGAAATGAGAAATATCATATGCATCTTTAGTTGCCTAAATAAGCATTATGCACTTTATTAACATAAACTTATCGCCTTTTACTTTAGCATATTATTGTGTACCTCTTACCTGCAACCGAAAATTGATTTTCTGAATAATATTTTGTGGAGGGAATTCATGAGTTTAGCTCTTTAAAGATTAATTTGGCAAATCATCATTTCCTTGGAATAATGAAGAAATATCCTGAAGTTCTAAAACAATATATGTAGTCCATATCTAAACAAGAATGTTTCCTAATCTAATGAAAGAATGACTTATCCTTTGGCAAGATTAATTATATAATTAGTTAACTAAAACTAACTCTAACAAACCACTAATGGAAGGGAACAGCTCTAATAGTTTTGTTATTTAACAATTAAATATTGGGGTTGTTAAGCCTCTAAAGGAGGTAGTACTACATCAAAGAGGGGAAAAAATGTGGCTACAATCAATTGCATAAGGGATGTGAAATTATGATGTCAGTATTTAAAGTGTGATTTAATAGTCCTGAAATCTTGCTGTAATCTTCACGTTCACCAAGTCTTATTGATCCTTGCCTTTAACAACTTCAGGAAGTACAGTAGCTTATATTGCCATTGTTTATTAGAAATTCTATTTTCCCACATCATGGTAACATTTAGTGTTAGCTGATTTTCAACTTCAGATCCAAAGTGAAAATTATCAACATACTTGAAAAATACACTCAAATATAGATAATGTGTTTATTCATTTGAAAATGAAGTCTTAAAGAATGTGTGTTGTACTTGTTTTTTTAAACATTGGCAAAAGCCATGCTTTATTTAACTTTTTTTTTCCAGGTTTTTATTTTATTGTATTTTTTCTGAGCTTTAAAATTTATTTACATAGTTTTGTTTTATTTTAAAATGTTTTTCCAATTACAGTTTACATTCAATATTATTTTGTATTAGTTTCAAGCATATTGGTTAGACAATTATACACTTTACAAAAGTATTCCCCTTCGTATTTCTAGTACCCATCTGGCACCATACAAAGTTATCACAATATTATTGACTATGTTCCCTATGCTGTACTTTACATCCCAACGACTGTTTTGTAACTATCCATCTGTACTTCTCAGTCCCTTCACCTTTATCACCCAGTCCCTCAGTACCCTTCCACTCTGGCAACCATCAGTCCGTTCTCTGTTTCTGTGTGTCTGTTTTCATTCTGTTTTTTTGTTAATTTATTCTTTAGATTTCGCCTATAAGTGAAATCATATGGTATTTGTCTTTCTCTGACTGACTTGTTTCAATTGCCATACTATTCTCAAGGTCCATCCATGTTGTCACAAATGGCAGTATTTCATCTTATGGCTAAGTAGTATTCCACAGTATATATGTACCACGTCTTCTTTATCCAGCCATCTATCAAAGGAGGTGCAGGACCAGCACCACCTGTGCCCTGCCTGGGGCTACCTGGCACGAGCTTAACAGCCATCTGCAAATAAATGGCTTCTACTTGTGCTGTGCTTGGAGGTGCCCAGGAGAGGCCATGCTGGGAACCAGGGCCAGCTCCTGGTAGTGCCAGGCCTGGGATCGCTTCGCAAGAGATACAAAGCATACGGAGTCCAGATGCTCCTTGTTTGAGTGATTTTAGGGAATTCTGAATCACGAGGCAAGAGAGATGATTTGTATTAAAAAGCAACTGTAAATGGCTTGGAAGGGCCCAAAACTTGGGCCGGGTGGAGTCTCAGAGAGTCATCAGGATGGGACAAACAATGTTAACCAGCTTGATGGAGACTCGGATATGAGACCCACCTGCTGGCTCTGCGGGGACAGGGCTCAGCAAAGGAACAGTGGCCTCTGCCAGCACTTCTGTCTGGGAGAAAGCTGCCCCTCCAGCCTTCGCCCAGAAGCCAGACAGTTCAGTTCCTCCCCTTATTTCTCTGGCGACTTTCAAGCTGCTACCCCAGGCCTGGAGCTCAGAGTGAGTGAGTCTTAGTGAATCTGAGTAAGTCTGTGTATGGGCCCTTTAAGAGAAAACGCTGGGCCTCCACTGCCCTCTCATTCAGCCACGATCCCTGCTAATTTTTACAGTTAAAAGTTATGGGAACTTTTCTTCCCAGCCCTGGAACCCTGGGCTGAGAATTCTGACGTGGGGCTGAGACCCCTCAGTCCTTAGAGGGCACTTCTGTAGCCGAGATATCTCCCTTGATTTTCAGCTGCCACATGTGTGTGTGGAACCAGCCCACTCTGTGACTCCTCCCATCCTACCAGTCTTGATGGGGCTTCTGTATATACTCAGTTGAAGGACTTCTGTTCCCCTAGATTTCAGGCAGTTATGAGTGATGGCTGTTCTATAATTTAGTTGTAATTTTGGTGTGGTTGTGGGAGGTTCCAAGTACAGTGCTTACCTACACCGCCATCCTGTCCAGAACCTAACTTTATTTTCTCAGAGTGAAAAGGTAGATAATTAAGTGGTAGCCGGCATTCATAGTAATTTACTGGTCTCGTTCATGAAAGTAAAGATCTACATAGAAATCGGACATTATCTCTCATCTTTTATTAACTAAAACATAAGATGAAACAGCTAACTTGTTATATTTATGTGGCTTTGTTGTAGTGACAGGGAGAGTTGATGAAAATCTAAGTATATTTTATTTGTGTCCCTCAGTAACTGCACAGTATTTCACTTCCTAAATTGCTGAGGGAGCTGGAGCAAGAGAAAAAGAGAAACCTATCTTTGCTGACGTTTCTAGATATTTATGGCAAAAGGTTAATTAATTCATGGGTTGTGTTGTAACAGCCCGTAGGTAATTTTCATCAGCGTAGCTATCATGTGAACTTTCTTTGTACTTATAATCTTTTACTTGAAGATGTGATCATTTTTCTCACATTTATACAAACACATTAATCATTCTAGGTGTTGAAGACATTTTTTTTTCTACTTGATTAACAGAATTCTGAATAGCTAAAGTGATTAAAATGAGGTTGAAATTTTAGTTTTCTCAGTGGAATGTTTCATTTAAAATGTCAGTTAAGACAGAACTTCCTAGTGGCTATAATTTGCTAATTTAGTCATCACTTAGAAATACAATCAGACCTCTATATACATAGAGAACCTATTTGAACTTGTGACCTAACCTTAGTTATACCACATTTAAAGTTTATAATTGTTATCATTACTATTCTATTGTCAACCTCTGGACTTTGATATTTTCACTTTGATAATGAAGTTTGTGAAATACTTGATACTTGTAAAGTTTTGAGAATGGATTAATAACACACTTAATCCCTGGTATTTAGTCTTCTTTAATCAGTAAAGTCTCCTTACTCTTTTAGTAGTCAAATTATAGGCCTCTTCTGGGATATGTCAGTTGTATGTGCAACAATAGAGTAATCAAATTGTTAAACTAGAGGTCATAAACCAGGAGTGTGCATGTCAAATACGCTGTGTGGGTGAATTTTACTTGGCCTACATAGTGTTTTAAACTTTTAAAATTACCATCATTTAAAAAATGAGATGTTTTAAATAAAAATCTAGATTTCCAGCTATTCTTGAGAAGTCAGAAGATCTTGCTATTCTTGAGAAGTCAGAAGATTATGCTCCACTGTTCCTAATAGGTACCATCAGGTGGAGTTGAGCAGAAGCTGCTCATATAGAAGTACCATCATTTAAAAAATGAGATGTTTTAAATAAAAATCTAGATTTCCAGCTATTCTTGAGAAGTCAGAAGATCAGCTATTCTTGAGAAGTCAGAAGATTATGCTCCACTGTTCCTAATAGGTACCATCAGGTGGAGTTGAGCAGAAGCTGCTCATATAGAAGTAGCATGAAAGTTTAGCACAGTCCCCACAACTCCTTCTTTATTGTGTGTTCCTGACTCTGAGGCTGAGGATCAGTAGCCATTTTTCATCATTCTTATACTTAGAAAAATTCTTCTTTGTACCTATTTCCCAACCAATGGTGAGAGAAGTATGCTTATTGCAACTAATCGACTCCACATATTGATTTATTTACCTGACTATAATCTTTTTAATTTGTGAGCTTTGACTTGGAGGATACTGCCTGGGAAATGGCTGAGTTTTAACAAGTTAGCCTTATATGAGTATGCATATACATACCTAATGGAATAGCAACAAGTAACAAATTATCTAGTAGTGCAGATAATCTCCCAAATCACTTAATTAGTTTAGGAAGTGCATTTTTTCTAATACATATAACTTTTGAGTTGATTTGGTTCAAGCTATTGGAATGAGTTGGGTTCCATAAGCAAATACACATTGTGTACTATGCTAGGTTCTGCACATACAAAGTTACAAAAGTCATTCTCTGCTCTAAAGTTGCTCACTCTCTGGGATGGGCCATATATATGCTGCATGAGAGAAATAGACCAGCATATGTGGTCAGAGGGTGGATACACAGGAGTTAAACTATGTCAATTGCTAGCGTTGTGT